TGCGGGGGGGGGCGCCCCCCCCCGCTGCTCCATTTCTTCCCCTCGACCGGATTCTCCAGGACATACCTTGGGCACGCGACAAGTGTTGGTCTTGGCCAACGGTCGACGGCACGTCTGCCGCGCCCTTGCTACCTCCGCGCGCAGTCGACGCGCCCCGGACAATCGGCCTCAACAAGTACTCCGCGAACAAAGTTCCTTCCTTGCAACGTCTGTGGGGAAAAAAAAACACTCGGTGGAACAAAAACACGGTGGGGAAACACACACACACACACACACACACACTGTTTTTTTGTGTGTTTAGTGTGTGTGTGTGTGTGTGTGTGTGTGTGTGTGTGTGTGTGTGTGTGTGTGTGTGTGTGTGTGTGTGTGTGTTTGTGTGTTTGTTTCCCACGTGTGTGTGTTTTCCCGCAACGTCGCTGGCTCGATCTTCGGCCCTGGTGTTTTTTGTGTGTTTGTGTGTTTTTTGTGTGTTGTGTGTGTGTGTGTGTGTGTGTGTGTGTGTGTGTGTGTGTGTTTTTTGTGTGTTTGTTTCCCACGTGTGTGTTTTTCCCGCAACGTCGCTGGCTCGATCTTCGGCCCTGGTGTTTTGCGCACCCTGCGTCGTGTGGCCCGCCGGGCCCCTCCGCGCCGCCTGCGTGCGTGCCGCCCGGCCCTCTTCCCCCCCGCCCCCTGCTCCTGCTCGAGGTGCCGGCTCCCCGGCCACTCTCTCGCACCGCCTGCTTCCTCCATATCCTCCTTCCCCTTCCCTCCTCCTCCTCCTCCTCCTCCTCCTTCTCCCTCCATATCCTCCTCCCCCTCCTCCTCCCCCTCCTCATCCTCCTCCTCCTCCTCCTCCTCCCCTTCTCCTCCTCCCCCTCCTCCTCCTTCCCCTACCCCTCCTTCCTCCTCCTCCTCCTCCTCCTCCTCCTCCTCCTCCTCCTCCTCCTCCTCCTCCTCCTCCCGCTCTCCCTTCGACGGGAAGGGCGGCGGAGGGCGTCGGTTCGGCGGTCGGTGGCGTCCGGCACTCGTCGAGGTAGGGGGCCACATGCGAACCCTACCCCTACCCCCCCGCGATTTTGGAGGGGGAGGGTGGGGTTCACTTCACTCGGGAGCTCCCGAGCGAAGTCAACCCCAACCTCCCCCTCCGAAATCGTGGGGGGTAGGGGGTAGGATTCGCATGTGGCCCCCTGCGAGGGTCACTGCCTCCGCACGGCTCCACAAGCAGGCGGGCAAGTCTCTGGCCAATCACTGCAGCTGGCTGCTCTCCACTGTCGCGTCGGAAGACGAAGGTGTGCTTTGCCGGGGAGGCTGGTCAGTGCTTCTGAAAAGCGGTGCGGCGGCGGACGTGGCGCGGCGTGGTGAGGCGTAGGGTGAGGTGCAGTCAACCCGCACAGTGAGGATGAGCGACTTTCCGAGGTTGCCCTTCAGGTGTCGGGAAGAATTCAGCAACACTCACGCATAACATATGGCGTGAACTCCCCCCCTCCCCCCGAATGCAATGTTGGGCTCGCATCTCCCGAGCTTGAGTGTCGGACCAGTCATGCGTGTACATGCCAACTTCGAACTGCGGGGGGGGAGGGGGGAATGTTGCCTAATTTCTATTCCCTCAACCGTTGCATCCTTCCCCTTCGGCCCATCCTTGGCCGCTTTCGTTGGCCGCGCCCCGCTCGCAGAGTGTCGGCATGGCCTCTCGAGGCTCCTGCATCCTGATAGAGCTGTACGGGTTGACTGCAGTGTGAGGCCGGGATCAAGGGAGGAAAAACCACCCGGACCGGACAATTGCCGTTTACTAAACGGCCCCGGGCGTTTACTGAACAGCCCTGCCCTGTTTGATTCTTTCGTTGGGCGCGTTTACTAAACGACTTCGCGTGGCGGGGTGATTATTATGGGGGCGTAGCCTCGATGCTCGACACGCAGGTCCGCCGTCGCTGCTCGGGGGGGCGCGGCGCGGCGGACGAGGGCGCGGCCTGGGAGGCGCTCCTCGCGGGCCTTTGTTGCAGGACTTGTTTCGCGGGCCCTCCTTCGTTTTGTGCTTTGAGAGCACAAGGTCGGCGGCGAGCGAGTGGGGGCAGCGAGAAGGAGAAGGCCTTCTCAGAGGACGGCGGGTCTTCTCGGAAGCCCTCGCGCCTTCTGGGAGGTTCTCTGTGTCTTCGGGGGAGGCTTAGAACACTTTTCAGAATGCCGGGGGACTTCCAAGCCTATTGGGAAGGCCCGCCCTTTCTCACTTCCCCCTCGGGCGCGCCGCCGAGAAGGGTAGCGCGGCATCCCTTCGTCTTAGGCGAGTATTTTGCCAGGAGAACGAAAGCCCAACGTAGTGAATTATACAGTGGTGCGGTTCAGCTGTTGTATGCGCGTTTGTCTATCTGCATGTGAGCATGTGTGTTCATGTGTGTATGTGTGTCTGTGTGAAGGGTGCAGCGTACCGTACGTAAGCTGACGCAGTGTTGTGCACGGTAGCGTGATCTGATGTATCGTGCGTGTGTGTGTGTGTGTGTGTGTGTGTTTGTGTGTTTAGGAGCGCATGTGGTTCAGTGGCAGATGAACGACCGTGATCTCTTCTACAGGTGAATGTGCGATCATTACATATTATCGCTATTCGGCAAGGTCACACGGCGCCTTGCCTGGAACATTGACAGGGATCTCGTTTAATCCCGACTGTAATCTGTCTGTGTGCACGAATTTGGGTGCGTGTGTATATGTTCTGTGTGCGCGTGCGTTCCTCATATGAATAAGCGGCGCCAGGCATGTGGTGAGGCGCGGGAGGGTGCAGACATGAGCGCCGCTGGCCAGGAGTCAGGGGGGCAGGGGGCAGATCAACGCACGGGCGCGACCCCGCCTTTGCATTCATACCCGACGATACTTCGCTATCCATGCATATTCAGCGCTGGTCCAACCTCCTCACTTTCCCCTCGTCCTCACCACATCCTCTTCCTGACTAGATGTTCCTCCTCGCTTCATTTTCATGTTGATCTTCACCCTAAAGACGTCTTCGCCTCATCCTGACCTCACCCTCGCCTGGGCTTCAGCTGTGTTTTGCCCTCCGTAATTGGTGGCACGCGTTTGGCTTGGGAGCGGTGACCCCGTTCCCCCTCATCCCCGTGGGCGGTCCCAGATTGCAGGGGCGGGTTTCGGGACTCCTCCCTCCTCCCCGCTCACCCGCTCCCCTCTTGCTGCCTCGTGCTACTGCCGAGGGCCGAGGGTCGGAGAGGAGCGCTCGGTGACCGCAGGCGCATGCTGCCGGAGCGGCCGGAAAAGAGAGGGACGCCGAGGCGCGTGTCTCCGCCCCGTCCTGTCGTCGTCGTGAACGTTTACGGGACTTGCCCTGGGGATTCTCGTCGCCACGGTTGGATTTCGCACCGAAATCTTGGTCCCGACTGGAGAACACCGGGCCGCCGTCGTAGGCGAAGCAGGGCCACCGAATTACTCGAGGGGGCTTCGGCTCTGGGATTGAAACTTCCCCGAACGCATCCGCTCGCCCTCATCTGAACCAGGACCTCAACAAAGAGTGGGCCTCCGTCTCTCCCCCCCAGAAGGGGGTGGTGTGAATCCAAGCGGCCTTCAGGACCACTACCAAAGAATGAACTTGGCGCGATCCCAACCAGGGGAAAACTTCTTAAGCAAGTAACTCAGCAAGGAAGGTATTGCTTTGCCTTGCTTGTTTTGATTGGTTGTGCTTTGCATTGCTATGCATTGCTGGGCGTTGTTTGGCATTGCTTTGCACTGCTTTGCGTTGATTTGCATTGGATTGCGTGTTTTTGCGTTGCTTGGCATTGACTTGTTTTGTTTTTCCTGTCGTTGCTTTGCTCTGCCTGACATTGCTTGCCATTGCTTGGCATTGTTTGGTTTTTTTGGGCACTGCTTGGCGTCGCTTCGCAGTGCTCGGTATTGCTTGGCATTGTTTGGCATGTCTTGGCATGGATCTGCATTGCTTGGCATTGCCCGGCATTGAGTTGCACTGGTTGGCATTGCTTTGCATTGTTTGGCATTGCTTTGCATGTCCTGCGTTGCTTGGAATTGTTTGGCATTGTTTGGTATTGTTTGGCGTTGGTTGGCAGTGCTTTACATGTCGTTGCATTGCTTGGCATTGTTTCGTGCTGCTTGGCAACCGCACAGCCCGGCAACCTGTGCAACCTGGCACGCGAGCAGTTGGGTAACTGGGCAACCTGTGCAATCCGGGCAACCGGGCAGCCAGGCAATTGGGCCATTGAGCAACCCGTACAAGGCCAGCCAAGTGGGTAACCCGAGGCAGGCCAGGCAACCAGGCAATCCGAGGAATGCCGGGCAACCAGGCAACCCGAGGAAGGCTGGCTGGCGCAGGCCTCACGCTCACCGGCTCTTCAAAAGCAAGAACCCCAGTGGGCAAGCCAAATTGGGGAACCAGTAAAGGTGAATACTCTGGTCTCTCAGAGGGGGGCGAGGAAATTCCTCCTCCCTTCTCCCTCCTCCCTTCTTCGTCAGTCTCCACCTTTCATAGTCGCTCCTCCTTTTCCCTCCCCCTTGAAACCGACCCCCGACATCTCCCAGAACATATTCAGACCAGGATTTCGACGCGGAATTTGCCGTGGCTGCAAAGTGGGCCCCCTAAGGCCCAGAAGAGGAGGAGGAGGAGGAGGAGGAGGAGGAGGAGGAGGGGCGGAGGAGGAGGAGGAGGAGGAGGAGGTGAAGGTCTCCAGAGGCTTCTGAAGGTGAAACATGAGGAGCAACAATAGTGTCGCTGTCGTCGCTGTTGACGTCGTCGGAGTCCTCTTCCTCATCCCCCTTCCTTTTGCTGCTCCTCCTCGCTATTCCTCCCCCTCCTCCTGCCCCTCCCTCTCTTCTTGCTCCCTGCTCCCTCTCCTTGTCCCCCTCCTCCTCGTCCTCGTCTTCCTCGCACTCCTCCTCCTCCTCCTCCTCCTCCTCTTCACTTTCCCTCACTTTTCCTCCTCTTCCTCCTCCACACAAGATGCAACTTTTCAGCTCTGGGAAATCCTGCGCCACTTGGAAGGAAAATCCGATCACAGAGCGTTCGTTGCTGATTCCACTTTCTCAGAGAAGCCGAAGAGACCGAGGAGGAAGCCGCGTCTGTCAATGAATTGGAAGCCCCGCTCAGACGAACACGGTCGACCGAAATAATTGCACGATGAATTGGATGCTTGCGTTGAGGAGAAGAGAGAGAGAGAGAGAGAGAGAGAGGGAGAGAGAGAGAGAGAGAGAAAGAAAGAGAGAGACGGGAAGCCCTCACAGCAATGATTGTGGATGCCGCACGGGAGACAGGAAGCAGTTCGGGACAGGGCGGCGGGAAACGCCGATGCTTCGATGAAGTGGACATTTTGCTTGACAGACGCTGGGCCGAATCAGCTCCAGAGAAGAGGAGAGATGCGTCGAAATCTGTATGGAGAGCTCTGAGCAAGGAGAGGAGACAGACACGAGGAGAAATGTGAGGGAAGTCTTAAAAAAAAATGGGCCTGGCACGCCTGGAGCGGTGGGGCGAGCGGCAGAGGGGCGCGACGCGGACCGCGGAAATGAGCGATTCGACCGGCAGTGTGGGTTCCGACCCGGGTTCTATATACGAGGTGCTTGCTGCTCCAGATTTCGTAGTAAAAGGGAGGGGGTCTCATTTCGGGGGGGGTCTCTTCCAGGCTATCTTGGAGGGCCTGGGGGGGTCTGGGGACGACGTTTTGGAGGGTTCTCCCACGGGGGGGGGTCTAAAACTTCTCGTTTGGGAGGGTTGAGACCCCCTCCCTTTGATTACGACATCTGGAGTACAGTTTACGATGACCTGTACAAGGAGACTGAGGACAGGGAACGCGCCTTGCCCCTGGAAGCCCACGGGGCAGCTGTGCTGCAGGGAGAATTACGGACAGCATCGGACGAGTTGAAGAAAGGCGAGACAGGGGCTGATGCCGAAGACAGACCACCCAGGGCTAGTGGCGATCGCTTCTGATTTTTCCAACGACACGTTGCTAAGAAAAGCATTGCCGCCAGACGGGTGTATACTTATGAACTCCCTGGTACTGTCCAAGAGAGGAAATCCAGCCATGCCCAAAAATGCTGGGCCCACCGCGGTATTATCAGCTATGGCTGAATTGTGCAAAGTGGTTTTTCCTTAATCGGATTGCCACGGCTAGTCACGCACGCTTGGGAAGGGAGCGCTTTGGTTGTTGAAGACGATTGCTGAGAAACCGTTAGAGTCGGGAGAAGAGCTGTGGATTGCCACGCTAGATGTTGAGAAGGTTTTTTGACCGAGTGCGCCAGTCTTCGCTCGTTGACGCTCTTCAGCAGCATGACGTAGATGTGCAGGTGGTCGCGGTAATTTTGATGTGAAAATGATGCATTTCTCTTCGGCCTGGCGCGATAGCAGGCAGCTTTCAGCGCAAAGGGGCGCGAAGCAGGGAGAACCATCATCGCCAGCACTCTTTGATTTAACTTGGGATGAATCTTTCCAGGAAGCATATGCAGCATGGAAGACGAGAGGGTACGGCACGAATGCAGGATTTGAAGTGCGGGGAGAACAGCTGACTCGCATATCGTTTGCGGATGACGAAACTTGATTGCAAGGTCTTGGATATCGATGAGACGAGTGGTTGCCACGTTATGGGACGCGTCGGGTAGCAGAGGGCTGTCGCTGCAACCCTCAAAGTGCCAGGTGCAGACCAAGATGGAAGATGCCCACCGAGGGCGTGCACACATAGAGAAAAAGGTTCCCCATCGAACTCTTGCCTCGCAGAATATGTTTGGAACTCTTGAGCACGAAATGTTCTCCGTGGAATATGACGGGTAGCGAGATAGCGCGCCGCGTTGCGGCAGGGTGGGCGAACTTTGGGGCGATGGAGAGGTTGCTGACAAGAACGAGTTTCTCCTGGACGAACCTTTTCCAGCCGTTCAACAATTCTGTGGCCGGAACACCCCTTCGGGGCGCAGGGTCGTGAACCCCGAGTCGAAGAGCTGAGGAAATTACGTTCCACGCAACATGCCATGCTGTGCAGAATTCCGAACAGCGGGGGAGCAGACGGGGAACATGGGGTATAACGGCGCAGCGAACAACCTCGCAAGCGCGACGTCTAGCGCGCAATGCCAGTGCGGAGGACTGGGTGCAGGGGCCTGTTTGTGCGAAATGGAGGCGGGCAGGGCACGTCGCTCGAATGCCCCCGTCTGCGCGGGCTCCGATCATCACCGGATGGAGGGATTTCGCTTGACGGACAGCAGCAGGAGGGATCCGGTTGCGCCCAGAATGACCTACGCGACGATTATGGATACAATTCGAATACGCCATGCGGAAGTTTTGCGCTGGCGAGGGGCGTCGAACATGCATAAAGAGAGAGAGAGAGAGAGAGAGAGAGAAAAGAGAAATAGAGAGAGAGAGAGAGAGAGTGAGAGAGGGGGAGACAAACAAAGAGAGAGAGAGAGAGAGCAAGACTGGGAGGCGTGGCGTGAGCTATCCGTTGCTTTTCGTTGCGTGGATCAGCGCGCCGTAGGCCAGCTTGTATATCGGCACGTTCTGCCGCCCATCGCTGGCCTGTTGGCCGGGACTTCGCTCTTCGCGCTTCCTCCCGATGCTGGCAACCGACGCCCAGTGCAAGTTCTCTTCGACATTGCGGCGGCCTTCCCTTCCCTCGGCAGAGACGGGTTATCCACCTCGCTTGAGAACTATCGTTGCGACCGAGGCTTCATGAATGCAGTCTCCGCCCTCTGCCACGACTCCCACGGCGTCGTCGTGCTTGATGGGGGCTACCGCTGCATCTGCCCAGAGGTTGCCCTCTTTCTGGCACGGCGTGGGCGATCGCCATGGACATGGTTCGGGCCGGGCGAAAGGGGGGGATTGGGAAAGGGGGGGTTACGAAATTTGCCGCATGCAGCTGGTTTCGGCCTCACCGAGGGGCCCATTCCTCGATACATGGGCGCCTCCGGCGCCGGAGGCGCCGTGAAAATCAGCCACGTGAGCTGATTCTCAATCCCCCCCCTTTGCTATCCCCCCCTTTCGCCCGACCCGAATGGTCATCAGAGCGCTGGACAACCAGACTTGGCGCGGCCGGCGCGGGCATCGCCGCCGCTGGTGCTGGCGACCTCGGCCTCCGCCTCCACCTGCCTCCGCGACCTGCCCCGCCTGCGCCCCCCTCTTTTGAGGCGGCCTCCACCCCGCGGGCGTCTCCGAGCACAGCCCCAAGAAGTGCGGCCTCGGGAGGAGGAGGAGGAGGGAGGAGGAGGAGGAGGAGGAGAAGGAGGAGGAGGAGGAGGAGGAGGACGAGGAGGAGGAAAGGGACGAGGAGGAGGAGGAGGAGGAGGAGGAGGAGGAGGAGGAGGAGGCGTCTCCGGCTACCACGCCCACAGTGCAACGGGAGGTTCGTGACTACCTGGCTGCCCACCTCCCAGGTTGGCAACGCTTCAACATTCAGGGCCCGGGCACGTACCTCGCCGCCAAGATCGACCCTGTTGCGATGAGCCAGTTGCAGTGGCAGGCGCTTAGCGAAGTGGTGGGACCGCATCGTCGCCCTCTCCACTGCGGGGACCCCGACTGATGTCCTCGCTCGGTTCTACCAGACCTCGCGCATCGCGGTCTTCGGTTACCTGATGCAGTTGTTCGAGCTTCCGGCAATGGTATTTCGCCGGGAGGCTCATGCGTTGCATCGTGTACTACGGCCGCCGCCGAGCTCAATGCGCCTCACGGACATTCTCTCGCAACCTACTTGGTCTCCGTCGCCGACGCCGCGCGGTTTTGGCCCGCGCAACTTTGCCTCGCTCTGGCGTGCAGCGAGCTTCACGATCACCGACTGGAGCCCCCTGCTGCGAACTCTCCTGGACACTGCGATGGAGCACTTACCGATTGCATCGCATGTTCGAGGCCACCTGTCGCCGGGCATTTGGCAGACGCCAGTCTCCATCGCGCAGCGGTTCGCCCTCGCGCAAGACGGCAGCTCGCAGATGCCGCTCAAGATGGGCCAGGCCACGATCCGCGGTCTCACTGGCGACGTCCAACACCAGCTCCAGACTGCGCCCGCGGACGGCCCACGACTGCGACCACAACGTCTACTTCAGTGTGCTGTCACTGCGCGTGCTCACCCTGATCGGCTATGGCACTATCGCGAAAAGGACTTCTGCTTGGTTTGGTGCCGCGGTCATTCCGGCTGACCTCTCCGTTCGCTGGCTACGTCTGCGTCAGCGCCTGGTCAATTTTTCCCCTGCGTCGCGCTGGGCGGTTCTCAAGGCGGTTACTGGAGGATGACATGCATCGCACCGCGTGCACGTGCGCCCTGACCGTGGACACTGTGCCTTTGGCTGGACCGAGCCCGACGCCATAAGGCATTACTTGGTTTGCCCGAGAGTACTTCACCTGACGTGCCTCCCCCGCACCTTCACGTCGCCCTTCTTGCACGTCTGGGCCTTGGCGACGGCGCCGACTATCCCGATGGCCCTGGACACGGGCGCTCGCTACCGAACACGATTTCACGGCTGGTGCCATCTTACTATCTGGTGTTGGAGCTCAGACATCACCCTGTGGTCGGCGGCACTTCCGCCTCATATAAGCTGCACTTGCAAGCCCTACGAGCAGCGCGTGATCGCCTACCACATGGGGACACCCCAACCCCGCCATCCCCCAGTCAGCCACGAACAATCAGCACGACTACGCCAGCCCTCAGCACGACCACCATTCCATAATTTCGCCTGGCATTGCAGTGTGGGGCGCCATTCCGATAGCACCTCCCATGCCCTGCCCACCATGACTCACCCTGACGCCTTTCCCGACGCCCCGCCGACGACACCTCCCCGTCCCTACGCCTGCCCCGACGCCCTTCCCAACGTACCCCCCGGCACTACTCCCTCTGCCACCCCGACGCCCAGCCCGACGCATCCCCCAACCCTGACCCCAACGGACGACCGCACACAGATACTCTATGACGGCCTGCTCTGACGTCCTGCTGCTGAGCCTTCGTCACGTTCTGCCGCCCCTTGCGGCCACGACTACAGCAACACTATACTCGCACGTCATCGTGCTGTACACGATCATGCTGAAGCCCATGAAGTTTATTATGTTCCTGGTGTGGTTCGGACGACGATGACACACGTCTTTGCATTGACCTCCGACCTGCCGAACAATGAAGTTGTCCTGGTGGCGGACCAGATAGAGGCCGACAAAATCTCCGCGCTGACCCATCACAACGACGCGGTGCCTCAGCCCGCAGGGCTCGAGCGTCCCCGTCGCCGGGTCCCACGACATGATGTGCGAGCCCATCTAAGGTGCCCCGCCGCGGCTTGCGGCCGTGTGGCGCGCCCCGGATGGACTCGTCCCCTCAGTCCACTGCTGCTCCTCCTCCTCCTCCACCTCCTCCTCCTCTACCTCCTCCTCGCCCGTCCTCCCCGTGCCCTTCGTGCCTTCACCGCCAGACAGGGCTCGCCCAGACGAAGCATGTTCGTTTTCTGTCGCTGCGCGGGCGCCCGCGCCGCGCGTGGCTTCTATCAGCAGGCTGCGCACCTGGCGAGCGGGCACCCTGGAGCTCTAGGGAGCGAGGGCGGCGGCCGCGGAGCAGGGGCTGCAGCAGGGGCGACGTGCGCAGGTCTTGGACAGCTTCGAGCCGGTGCCGCGGCCCAGGCTCCAGGTGGGAGTCGAGCCATGGGGCGGCGCAGGGGGCGCGCACGTGCATGCCAGGGTGCAGGGGGAGGGGTCCGAGAGGTTCTCGAAGAGGCCTGGCGTTCGATAGGCGCAAGATACTTTTTTCGGTCGCGTACGCGAGCGAAAGCGCAGGCGGAGACAGAAGCTGTCCGGGGCACGGAAACAGACCTAATTAGCTGCAGCGCGCGGAACGGGCCGGCTAGGCCACTCAGCTCACAAGGCGGCTGCTGAGCCGCAGGGCGAGGGCTGACTGGCTGAGGGCACCCAGGGAAGCTCAGGCATCGTGCAGCCCTGAGCAAAATGCCAGGGAATTCGATGTACGCCCTAAGGCGCAAGATACGCGGAGCGGCGGAGCTGTCGGGTATGCGCCGGCGGGGAAGCTGGAGCAGCTGTCGGACGAGAAGGCCCGGGTGCCTGGAGCGAATGGCCTGGAATTTGGCGGAACCGAGCACATAATCGGTCGCAGGCTGAGGCGGGGGCTGACGCGCTCCAGTGAGAGGGTGCCTGCCACGAGGCGCATAGACGGTCGAAAGTAGCACAGGTAGTTTGTCGAATAGTGGCGGAGCTTCAGCGTTGCCGCCCGTCTATATCGTGCGGCCAGCCGATTCGACAACCTATCCTCGTTATTGCGGTCCGGCCACTTCCCCGTTTGGGTATCCCAAGCCTTGACAGCATTGGGGCCATGTTCTCTCCACCATCCCCTTTTTTTCCTGCATGCCCGACCGCGGTCCACTCGTGCCCCCCGTCCTTTCCCACCCCAGTGGGCAGCAGAAGGCTGTGACTTGAAGGCAGATTGCGGGATTCGGGCGTTGCGTCGAGGATTGGGGCTCGCTTCGCCCCATCAGTTTTTTGGAAACTTGCTTGTGAGACTCACGCCCAGGGACTTCTCTAGGTGTGGCCGTAATTTCATTGCGGGACATTTGGATACACCAGCCTCAATACAGGTACCATACCTGCCACAGACATGCTCGATGTGTGGCTGCGTCGCAACTCTGGGGCTATGGATGCCAACCCGCCTCCACACGGATAGACCCCCATCGGCCGCTGGCGACAAGGTTTCGTCGTTACCCATGGTTTCAACGATGTGGCTTGCTGTCGAGAACACATTTTGGCACCCCACGTCGCGCATCGCAGCATGGTCGTGGCTTAGGTGCCGCAGTCTCCAGCACTTCCCTGACGATCGCTTCATTCCCGATTGGTTCGAGTCTCATGCAAGCCTGCACCGTGGCTGGCAATCCTCCCCTCCCCCCGGGACGACGCCGCGCCTGACCCTGGAAGCCTACAGCGTGCTTGGCAATGATCCTCCGCCTCCTCCTCCTCCTCTTCCTCCTCCTCCTCTCCCAGGACGAGGCCCCGCCAGACACTCGCGACGAGGACGTTGCCCGCGCGGACGGGGGCCAGGCGGGCGCGGAGGCGCGCGGCCGCGCTGACGACGGCGATGGTGACGGCAACCGTGGCGACGGCGACGGCGAGAGCGGGAGCAGCGGCGGCCGCGACGACGACGATGACGATGTCGTGCGCTGTCCTCCTCATCCTCGGCTCCGCTTTCCTCCGCCCTTCTCCTCCTTCCTGGGCCGCCCCCTCTTTTCTCCTTTCTCTTCGTCTCTCGTGTTCTTCTCCTGCTCCCTCGCTTCTTCCTCGCCCCTACGGTTTCCTCTTCTTGCTGCGGCACCTCATCGCTTTGTGTTCCTGGGGTATTGCTTATGCACTTGACCTCCTTCGTTTTTCTCCGCTTCCTTCTCCTTATGTGGGGCTTCATTGCTTCTGCCTCCAAACTTCCTCCTTCTACTCCTTCCTCCCTCTTCTTCCTCTTCATGAAGCGGCGCATTTTCGCACTCATCTCATTGCCTCCTCCTCTCGCCTCCTCCTCCTCCTCCTCCTCCTCCTCCTCCTCCTCCTCCTCTGCCTACTACTCCAGCCCTGGCTTCTTGACATGATGTTTGACTCGTTTCTAGTGTCATGTTCTTGGTTACGTGCGTGCATTTTTGGTTCGGCATGTGCGGGCATGCGCATGGCATGTGCCTGACATGTGCCTGGCACATGCGGTCCCTTTCCCACGGACGCCCAGTCATCAATCGACGTGTGTATATGAGCCAGTATATGCGCGGCATGCCCGGGGGTCATTCTGCGCATCCAGTTTTTCTCGAGTCCCGTTTCTGGATTCCACTAATGAGTTGATAGTTGTGGACGTGCGGGCATTTGAGGAGATACAGTCCTTCTATTGTTCATCCTCTACCTGTTACTTCTTTTCCTGCATCCATTATCATCCCCCTCCTTCTCCCTTTTTCCTTATCCTCTTCCTGATCCTCATTTTTCCTTCTCCACCTTCGTCGTCGTCGCTCTCTTGCTCCTCCTAGTTCCTCCTCCTCCTTCCTCTCAAGGTCGTGACGATCAGACCCGCCTCCTGACATCTCGCTCCGAACATGTAGGGCAGCCACTCGCCCCAGAACCAGCACGTCAAGCCACGCGCGAGCACGCGAGTGCTCACGCCAGCCTCGTCTGCACCCACACCGCCGTGACGTGCGGGCCAGCCAGAGCAGCGATTACACAGCCCCCCAGGTGCCGGGGGAGGGGGAGGGGAGCTGTCCCACCCTCGTTGTGGCCACCTGGCGCCGCGCCGCCCAGATCGCTTCGGCCCTTCGGCGGCTTGCCGGCGGCCACCGGCGGCGGCCATCGCCGGCGGCAGGCGGTCCTCGGAGGCCTTCGGCGGCATGAGGCGGAGACGCCCGAGAGCCCCGCCCGCAGGCGGCAGTCGAGGCACGCGTGGCGGAGGCGAGGGCCGCCTTCGACGAGCTCCGCGCGCTCCTGCGGCCAGCACGCGCGCCGCTGGGCGGGGGCTTACGGTGGGGCGGCCTCTCCTCCCCCTCCTCCTCCTCCTCCTCCTCCTCCTCCTCCTCCTCCTCCTCCTCCTCCTCCTCTTCGTCCTCGTCCTTGCTTGAAGCACTGTGCGTTTTGAGGCCGTCTTCTGTGGCCTGTGGCGCAGGGCGCCCGTCCCCGTCGCACTCGCTGCGCAGGGGGCGTCCCCATGCGCAGGCCGGCTCGCCTCGAGCCGCCCCCCTGGCTGCTCGATGCGAGATTTACGTCGGGCCTGCCCCTCTACAGGGGGAATCGTCAAGAATAGTTGAAGAATAGTCTGGGGACTATTTTTTTGGGGGGTAGTTTTTGACCATCTTGGAGCATCTGTTGAGTATACTTGGTCCGGCTCCTCCATCGACGGGAGCTGCAGCGCGTGGGCGAGCCCATCCGCTCCCCACAAGCGGGCTTTGCGGCTCGCCCGCGCCGCGCGGACGGCTGCAGACCTTCCCGACGCGCGTGCGCGGCGACCGTGGGTGGGACGAGCCAGCAGGTTCGGATCGTCCCGCACCTCTATGGCCCCGGCCCCCTCCTCCACCTCCTCCTCCTCCTCCTCCTCCTCCTCCTCAAACCTGCTCCCACTCCTCTTGTTCTACTTCTTCCCCTCCTCCTCCTCCTCCTCCTCCTCCTCCTCCTCCTTCGCCTCCTCCTCCTCCTCATTCTCCTCCTCCTCCTCCTCCCGCCTCCTCCCGCCTCCTGCCTCCTCCTCCTGCCTCCTCCCGCCTCCTGCCTCCTTCTTTCCCTGCCTCCTGCCTCCTCCTTATCTCTGGTGGGGCGGCGGCAGAAGGAGGTGTGTGATTGGAATTTCGCACTCTGGTGCTAAGGGAGGATGCAGGAGGATGGTCAGACGCGGCGGGAGGGGGATGGACAGCACCGCGAGCAGTGTAGACAACTTTGCAGCTCCTGGTTACACACTTGCTGATAGCAAACCACCCTAACTCTGGAGTGGTGCTAGAAGAATGTCCAAACCGAGGTCCACCTCGATGACCCTGCGTGAAAATGGAGCTATCGGGGGGCCGCCCCGTTCTCCATGCGTAAGTGGGTCCTCGACAAAGCGTCGGACCAGATGTGAAACGTAAAAAGAAAACCACCCGCTCGTCGAACGAGAAGCCGATGGAACGCGTCGATCTCAAACGATCTTAGCCCCGCCCGGGGCGGCCTTGGAAGAGAGACGTCGTTCGATGCAGCCCAAACCCTTGATCCGCCAGGGAACGGGGGGCCAGGCGCCCCGCTCAGGGGGCAGCCACTTGATACGCCTCAGGAGAGCTGGTAACGTGGCCGCCAAACTCTCCCGGCGTGACCGTCACGATGCGGGCTGGGCGCCAGCTCGGCGCCGGCGCCGCGGCCGCTGTGTACGCCGTGTGGCGGCGCACCGGCTTTGGTCCGGTGGGTCGGCTGCCTTCGCCGCTGGGAGGTGGCTCGTGGTGGCCACCTTCGCCCAATCGCGCGTCAGGATACAGTCAGTAGGAGCCGACGCGGCTTGGCTGTAACGCTATGGCTACGCAGCGGAATACTTCACGCTTGGATCGAGTGTATAGCGACATCCCGAGTGCGATCCTCGCTGACTACACTGCCACCGCTACCCCCTACGGCTCCCTTGAGAAGTGCCCTTCGGACCACCGACCGATTGTTGTCTCGATTCCGAGCTTCGATGCGAAGAGCCAACGGAGTTCTCCAGTACGGTCGTGTCGCACACCCACGTGTGCGTCCGTCTGACGTTGCTGCTGGTCACCGTGTGCAGTTAGCCAAGGAGAGGATTTTGGTTGCTATTCTTTGGATCCGTGGGGCCATCCGAAATCGTCCTGCTGTGTCGATGGTTGAAAGACACGATTGGACCATGAATGCGATTCGTGGGTTTGGGTACGAAAATGTCACCTTCGGCACGGTTGGGCATTTGCTGTATATGCTGAGCTTCAGCTCTACACTGCTGTGGAGGCGTTACGGCGTACGCAGCTTGCCGATCGTTGTGCACTTGCTGGCCGCCTCCAGGTAGAGCACATTGAACAACAGCAGTGGGAATCGGAGGGTGGCCAGGCCTTGGGTTGCGATGTGGATGAGGAGGAGCTCGAGCGCGCCATGCGTAAATGGCAACGGAGCAAGCTTTTTTGGCAGCAGTTCGAGCGACGTGTGGTTTTGAAGTGGGTCCGTGCTTCTGACGGTACGGTTTGCGCAGTGCCGAGGAAGGGGACGCCATCTTGTCGCGCATTGGGAGGCGATTTTCAAGCAGTTCCAGTGGACGGTCTGCGATTTTACAGTCTTGCAGACAGCGTCGGCCCGATTGGAGACTCGGCGATGCTGAGTTTGAACAACGTGCGAAGTAGAGGCGTGGCACAGCACCTGGGAGGGATGGGTTACCGTACGCTCCATGGCAAGTGGAGGTTGGGTGTGAAGTACTATTTGACATGTATGAGCTGTTCGATAACAAGCGTGCCACACTTCTGAGTCACATGCGTGATGTGCTAGCGTTCTCTTCTGCAAGTGCACGTGGCCTGACGATGCGGCACACGGTGTGGCGAGGAGCCCAGAGGCGACTAGGCGCCTGGCACTGCGATTCCGATGCCAAAAATATGTAGTTAAATTGTTGACGCTTCGCGTATCCCCACCAGCCCATCCAGAAACGATGCCCAGGGGAGTTGAGGTGATCAGGGAAGTCGGGGAGCATGCAGAATAACAAAGGGCGGGGGAAGCTGTCACGTACCCCAAGAGGGGGAGGATGGAGAAGGAATCCTCGTCGGAGGGGGAGGAAGAGGCTTACCTCGGCGGAACAACTGGACCGAGGCCGCGGAGCAACTGAAACCAAGCGGCGGAGCAACTGACACCAAGCGGAGGAGCGGCGGAGCAACTGAGCCAGTTGTTGGCCCAGTTGCTCCGCCCGCCCATCTCAGTTGCTCCGCCCGCCCCCCGTCCCCCCTGCGCCTCTGGGGCAGTCTCAATTGCACCTGGGGTGGTTGCAGTTGCCGCAACAGAACCCAAGCGGCGAAGGGCGTGGAGGAGGGGGAGGAGGCGGAGGAGCGGAACGGGAGAGGAGGAGGAGGAGGAGGAGGAGGTGGAGGAGGGCTATCGGAAGCGAGCGGGCGAGAACGCAAATAACATTGATTTTCTATGGGTGTTTGAAAATTTTTGGCTTCTTGAGCCTCCTTGTGAATCTTTTTGGACTCCTGGAGCCGTCTCGGGGCGGTTCTGGGCCCTGTCGGAGCGTCTTCGGGGCCATCTTGAGGAATCTTGCGCCATCTTGGGCGAAACAGTACCCTCTGGCACCTCGCGGGGCGCCTCTTGGGCCCGTCTTGGGGTGCCTCTGGGCCCCTCCGAGGGCCCTGGGAAGGGTGCAAGAGGGCCCCTAGAGGGCTCCCAGAGGCCCCCAAGGTGGCTCCAAGAGGCCCCGAAGAGGGCCCATGAGTACATTATAAAACAAGTTGTTTTTATAAGCTGGCCTGGTGCCCTCTTGGGCCCGTCTTGGAGCGCCTTTGAGCCCCCCCGAACGCCCTGGGGAGAGTCCAAGAGGGCCCCTACAGGGCTCCCAGAGGCCCCCAAGAGGGCTCCAAGAGGCCCCCGAAAGGGTCCAGGAGTACGTTATAAAACAGGCTGTTTTTATAAGCCCGACGGCGGCGGCGGCGGCAGTGGCGACGACGACGACGACGACGATCAAGACGACGACGACGACGACGACGATCAAGACGACGACGGCGACTACGAGGGAGATAATGATGAGCGCGTTTTTCCCGGCCGTAAGCATCCTTACGGCCTGAAAAAAAACACGACGACGACGACCACTACGACGACCACGACGACGACCACGACGACGACGACGACGACCAGGACGACGACGACGACGACGACGACGGCGACGGCGTCGACGACAACGACGACGACGACGACGACGACGACGACGACGACGGCGGCGGTGACGGCGACGGACAACTGGTGCATTTGGACCCCGGGAGGGATCTGGGGACCCGTCTTTGGGCCCCTCCGAGGTCTCTGGGAAGGTCCAAGAGGGCCCCTAGAGGGCTCCCAGAGGCCCCCAAGGGGGCTCCAAGAGGCCCCCAAGAGGGCTCAGTCAGGAGTACGTTATAAAACAAGCTGTTTTTTATAAGCTGTCCTGGGGCCCTCTTGGGCCCGTCTTGGGGCGCCTCTGGGCCCCTCCGAGGGCCCTGGGAAGGGTCCAAGAGGGCCCCTAGAGGGCTCCCAGAGGCCCCCAGAGGGGGCTCCAAGAGTACCCGAAGAGAGTCCAGGAGTACGTTATAAAACAAGCTGTTTTTATAAGCTGTCCTGGGGTTCACTTGGGCCCGTGTTGGGGCGCCTGTGGGCCCCTCCGAGGGCCCTGGGAAGGGTCCAATAGGGCCCCTAGAGGGCTCCCAGAGGCCCCCAGGGGGGCTCCAAGAGGCACCGAAGAGGGCCCAGGAGTACGTTATAAAACAAAGTGTTTTTATAAGCTGGCCTGGTGCCCTGTTGGGCCCGTCTTGGGGCGCCTTTGAGCCCCCCCCGAACCTTCTGGGAAGGGTCCAAGAGGGCCCCTAGAGGGCTCCCAGAGGCCCCCAAGGGGGCTCCGAGAGGCCCCCAAGAGGGCCCAGGAGTACGTTATAAAACAATCTGTTTTTCCCCAAACAGCTTGCTGAACGGGGTGCTGTTGTGATAGAAGCTAATTCCGGCCGAGGGAAAGCTAAGCAGAGACATCCTCAAACAAATGTGGTGGTCCAGCCCGTTTCGCTTGAGACATCCTCACAACTCTCGTTTCTGAGTTGTCCGGGATTGAGCGTTTCGCCTGAGACATCCTCCTAAATCTGAGCTCTGAGAGGCCGCGCGAGAGGTGGTCCGGGCCGTTTCGCTTGAGACATCCTCGAAACTCTGAGCTCCCAGATGCCGCGCGAGAGGTGGTCCGGGCCGTTTCGCCTGAGACATCCTCGCAACTCTGAGCTCCAAGATGCCGCGCGCGAGGTGGTCCGGCCCGTTTCGCCTG